GCTGTCTCTTATACACATCTAGATGTGTATAAGAGACAGGTGTGGGGCGGTGCGGTGCGCTGTGCACTGGAATTCCAGCGCCCGCACTGTGCGCTGTACGCAGTGCGGTGAGCAGAGAACAATGCCCACGCTGTGGAAGATGCGTAAGGTGCGCAAAAAAATATATATATATATATGGGCGTGTAGGGGTCAAAAAACCCTACACACCCATATTTTTGGGGGGGGGATTGTTGTTAAAAAAAAAAAAAAAAAAAAAAAAAAAAAAAAAAAAAAAAAAAAAAAAAACTCGAAACGAACTCGCAAAAAAATATATATATATAAATAAAAGAGCAAAAGAAAAGTGATGAAACACATGTGCGGGCGGCAAATAATGGACACCTGTCCACATCGGCTAGTCCCTTTTATGACGGCTCTGTCACCTGTCCACATCGGCCAGTCCCTTTTATGACGGGTCGTTCTCTCCTCTGCCGCGTGTGGAGTTTGACGATCTGGCGACCATGACTGCTACGAGGCTTTGCAGAACAGCATTCCCCTCGTGCATGGCACCCGTGACAGCTCCGATCTGGACTGCGACGTCGCCGATCTTCGTGGACATCATAGCCGCTCCCTCGCATGTAGAACGAGCCTGTGTTCCGGAAGCCTTGTCAAGACCTTCGCAAAGTGTTTTCGTCGAGTCTTCCATGGTTGTCCTCGTCGAAGATGAGGATGCGGGTGCGTCGCCACGCACCCTACCCGACGATGTCTTGCGCGACCTGCCACTCGTGTCTGAAGCGTCCGTGCCACTGCCATCAGATGCGACACCCCCACCCCTCGTCGAACCGCCTCCTACGCCTCCTTCCCGGGTTCCGATCCCTCCACCGATCTCGCCTGATCGGCTCCCTCCACCAGCAAGGCCCGGTCCAGTCCCGCCCTGGCCCTGCCCCGACAAGTTGCCCCCTCCACCTTCACCCCCATCACTACCGCCATCGCTGCGCCCCGATCCGCTCCCTCCGCCACCTGCCAGGTCCTCTGAAGCGAGAGTGGCGTCGCACGTGTACGACTTCTTCAATCGCCACCACTCCATCGCATCCCAAAGAGGCTCCTCGAACGTAGTGCAGACGTCCTTCTCCCTTCGCTGCTCTGTGGTCATGTTGAAGTAGCCTGCCTCCCCAGACCTGTAGCACTTGTCCCCGATCTGGCTAACGATCTCCTTGAGTTTCGTCCACTTCTTCCTGCAGTCCTCCGCTGTCCTGTTGTACCCCTCCTCCTTCAATCGATCTGCGATCCATTCGTATCTTTTGCCACGCGTCTTGTGCTTATGCACGCCGTTGGCGTCGGCCATGAGGGCATCGTCTTTCACGCAAGTCCTCCCCAACGCTATCCGCTCCTCCAAGGTCCACGGGTTGTTCTTCTTCCCCCCCTCCGCCCTCGGCGCCCTCCTCGCACGCTGCTTCTTTTGCCCCGATGCCGTATCCTCCGCCGATCGACCGACATCGCCCCGCATGACTGAACCTTCGCCGACAGCATCGTCCGCTGTCCTTTTGCCCGTGACATTGCCTGCAGGCCCCCCTGACCGAGAAGGTGTGGAAGAAGCAACGGCCTCATCACCGAGATGCATCGCAGTTGTCTTGCCATGCCACCCCTCAACCGCAAACGCAGTCCTTTCTCCACTGCCAGCTGTTCCAAAGCTTGGAAATCCACCCCCCCACCCCTACGACTATCCATGCATGAATCCGCCTTCAGACAAACGTGCAGGCACTGGACCTTGCACTTGAGCGCGCATGGTTTGGGGCTGTGGGTGAGCGTTTGCGGGAATGAGCGACTGCCTTTCCACGTGATCGGCCATCACGACGTTCTCCATTCTTCCACCCGGCGACGAGCGTCGTGGACCTGTAACACCGCATGACATGACCGATCCGTACGGGGAATGCGCCATACCCTGCGAACTCCCCGGTGCCCATGCAGCAGACCGATCGTCGTTGCCTACCGCCCCTCCCCGCGCGCTAGACGGCAGTTCGGCGGGCGGGTAAACACCGATGGACTCGTCATGCATCTGCACCGCTTGGCGACCATACAAGGAGGAAGAACCACGAACACCCGCTCCCGCTCCACCTCCCGCATGCCCTCCCCGGCTAGAAGGTGGAGCCGATGTGTACTGCGATTGTTGTGCACCGGGCTGGAATCCCTCGTTGYTGAACGKCGTSCGCGGCCATTGYCGTGCTGAGCCACGCKSCACACCTCCACCTCGGTCCATCTGAGTGCCAGCAATGTCCTCTACACCTGACCGATCAGAATCCATGGCGTCGTCATACTCCCCCATAAGCTCGGATGTGAATCGGCGTCCTTCCATACCTCACGCAGTTGGGGCAGTTCTCTTTGCAAGCAGCTGCACCTCCTCACCCTCTCGATGTCAGAACATGAACCGCAAAGCGGCGATCAAGCACACGGTCATACGGACGATGGCTATGGCGGCCAAACAAAGGAGCATGCAAAGGACGACGAAGACCCCCGTGATGGCTTGGCCGACCACTGAGCGGCGACTGCAGTCGGGCACGCACGAAACGATGATCACCACCGGTCTTTGTGTCGCAGCGCAGTCCGTGCACTCGTTTTCCGTGCGCTGCCTCGCAGGGACTGCTTCCCCGCTGCTCGTCACAAGGATGGTATGCCGATCTTTGGAGATGGCGAAGGGGGACCGAGATGCAGTGTCACCAACACCATCTACCACCGACAGCATCTGCCGAGGAGGACGTGATGGCAGCGCGGGGACGGTGGTGGGTCGTAAAGCCGGCAAGACGTTCGTCGGGCAGTGCGATTTCAGAAATGGCAAAGTCGACACCTTGGAAGCACACACCGGAGGAACGAGAATCGACGGACGAACATGAGCGGCTGTGCTATGACATCTGTCCTTCCCCGGAGCATGAAGGACTTGCATTGCCTCTGCGCAGCCACTCGCCCGTTCATACCTGGTGGTGAACACCGCCGGAGGCCATGGACGTCGACGCAGTCAGCGATGCTTCGATGAAACACGCTGGCGATGGAACGCATGGCAGCGGATGGAGGAGGCAGTCCGCGAGACTTGGGGGACCAGGATTTTCACCCCGCTGTGCACACAGCCGGCAAGGAACGTCCGCTGTCTGCACGGCATGCGAATTGGACCACGGCCTGCTTGACGCCCATCCTCTTACAATCGGCAGTTTTCGAATTCGAATTCGAATTCGAATTCGAATTGGAATTCGAAAAACCGGCGGCCCCGACCGCCCCTCCAGCACTCGCCCTGGCGGGGAGTCGTTTGTGGGTGACAACAGGAAGTCCGTGTACCGACTGCAAGGACCACGGGACGTGTAGGCTCGGACCACGGTTGGACCAGCACTTTCCAGAAGAAGTTTCCAAGAGAGAGATGCCCCCCCCCCACTCTCTCGAAATGGCACAAAATTCCGGCGCAAGATGATCGCGTGCCGCCACGACACCACGATACAAATGTGAAAACATGGAACTCCACTTTTCCGAACAACCTTTCGGACGCGGTGGGGTCTCCGAAAACAGCCGGAAACTCCCACAATCGAGTTTCCAAACGGCCATCTTCTTCCGATGTAATCCCGGAAAAGTTTTTCCAGGCCATCTTTTCCAGGACTTTTCCATGATTTCGTCCTGTGGGGTCCAGGCCTTAGTTCGCCCAGTTTAAAAATTTTGTATGTACTTGCATTGAATTTTCGAACTGAATTGTATGTAAGAATTAAGTGTGCCTTTGGAAATTGTAGGGTTAAATTGTAAAATGTTTGTGAATTGCCTTGTGCATTATCGAGATTTGCAGTTTATAGCTCGCAAATCTTTGCCAATAGTGTTTTGATCCTAGAAACATGCCGGTGTTTTCCTGTGCAGCAAGGATATTACACTGTCATGGATTTGCTTTGCAATTTTTATTTTTGGAGATTCCTTAAAAATAAAAAAAAACGAGAAAAAGAAAAACAAAGAAATTAAACCAGAGGGGGGGGGGCAGAGAGAGAGAGAGTGAGCGCGCGCGCGCGCGAGAGAGAGAGAGAGAGAGAGAGAGAGAGAGAGAGAGAGAGAGAGAGAGAGAGAGAGAGAGAGAGTGAGAGAGAGAGAGAGAGAGAGAGGGTCCGGTCCAAATCCATTCAAGTGGAAACGTCATGGCTCTATTTTTCACCGCGGCCAATGTGTGGGCAGGGTACTGGTCGTTTGGAGTAGGCATGATCATCACCAGGGGCATGGTCCCACTAGCCAAGAGGATCGGATAGAATGCCTGCAGTGCATCTGGACGAGGTTATGGAGATCCAGATTCAGGAGCTCGATTCTATCCTTTTTGCTAGGGGGACCTCGCCCCAGTAGGCACTTTTCTTTTTTTCGTTTTAAAGAAATTATGATGGTTGAAGTTTGAACCTTGAGTTGGTAAGGCCCGCAAGTGGCATTCAGGAGGGCGTGGGTTCAATCCCGATCCATTGGCCTCATGTACCTTCCTGGGCATATGCTTGGCGCCCACCACCTAGAGATAGACCACTGGATCCCCCGAGCGGCATTGAGCAGAGTCTGATGATGTTCGTAGGGGAGGGGACCACCACCTAAGGGGAGGCACAGGGATTGGTCATGTTGGCATGGTCCCTGATGCTACCAGGTGCCCACCTGCAGGTCGAGAGCATCCCCTGCATATTCTCTCGTGAACATGGTTCTGGCTGCTACGGGGTTCCCCGTATGACTATTATCAGGAGTAGTGGTAGGTTTTAGAGGTAGAAGGAGAAAAGCAAATGGGTCGGATGAAAGGGAAAGGCAGGCTACACAGTCTCCAAGCAGGCTTCCCTCAGATCCCCAATTCTTTCTCAGTCCCTCTCCCTCCTTCTGAGATGGCACTTGTTGGCTTACATAGGTACGGGTCGCGGGAGGTATGATTTCGGTTTTTAGGAGGAAAAAAGTGGGCTGCTGGTAATATGCTAGTGCAGAATTTCAGATTAGGCGCCCTCTGCGGGATGAAGAGGCAATTCTAGGCAGCTCACACATCTGTACAGACCCCACAGACATCAATCATGGTATTTCATCTCGTCTTGTACTCATGCATTCATGTATACATGTATCCAAGGGAAGCGGGACCCGTTTTCCAGCAGGTGATGCTCCCCACCAATAGATGGAGCATTTTGTATAAAAAAAAGAAAAAACTTGAAGGAAAAAAAAAAGGAGTAGTGGTAGGTAGGTGCTGTGAGGTGAAATTGAGAGAAGAATGTAGCATACTTCCATGGTGCAATGATAACTCTTTTTTGTGACTCTACTGATTTTTTTTATTTTTTACTTTAATTTCAAGTGAATCAATTGTAATCCTGACTGGGAGCAGTGTTTTTTTTTTGTTTTTTCGGCTGACTACAGCACAGAAAGGTGAATTTGAAAACCTGTCCGCGAACACTTCTTAGCTCTTCCTTCTAATCATCATGTACCTACGTAGTAATTCCACTTGCCCCGCTCATGAAGGGCTCTCACTGTGCTTCGCAGGTGTGCCACTGGCTGTTCTGCCCATAAAGCAAGGGCAGTGCAGAGAAGCATAGAACACCGGGAAGGCGGATGAAGACGATCAGTGGATAATCAGTGGACAATCAATGGCAAAAGACACCTGCTACTGCTGTGTATAGACCATTCAGGGGTATACAGTACTTACAGAAAACAGTATAGTGGGGTAGTATACGATACGTAAAACAACCAGTGACAGGAGTAGTTAACCTGCAGTCAACAACAGTGTTATATAGGACTGGAAGCAGGTGACTGTGGGGCTGGGCTTTTCAGTAAGAGGGGAGTGATCTCTAAGTCGGAAGTTATACAGACTCAGCCTGATCAGATAAGCAGTACAGTGGACGATAAAGACAACCATGCAACTCATTTTGTGTGAACAAAGGGACACCGGGCCCGGTTCCCGGCAGGTGCTGCT